AGAGCGGTCGGGTTAGAACGGATAAAAGGAAGTATTTCTTCACCCAAAGAGTGATTAACACATGGAATTCACTGCCACAGGAAGTGGTGGGTGCTACAAGCATGGACGGCTTCAAAAGGGAATTAGATAAGCATATGGAGCAGAGGTCCATCAGTGGATATTAGCCACAAGGTATAGATAGGGGCTCTGGGGCAAGTGAGGCTCTGTCTTCTTGGTGCTGGGGGGGGTCAACAGTGGGAGGGCTTCTAATGTCCTGGCCCCACTGCTGGACCTCCTGATGGCACTGGTATTTCTGGCCACTGTGTGACACAGAGTGTTGGACTGGATGGGCCTTTGGCCTGATACAACACTGGCGTCTCTTATGTTCTTATGTTTGAATCAGGGTCTTCACAGCCCAAGTCCAACATGCTGGCTACTGACCCACACTGGCTTTCACGCAAACCGGCTCACCCACACTCAGCCTACCTCCTGCATTACATGGGAATAATAAATGTATAATTGCAGCATAATGACATACTGTATCCCTAGAGTTATTACATACAGTAATTACAGTTGATTTGGAAATGGTTAAGCCTGCAGGTGGGAGGTGGGGTGCCTAGGGCCCACAGTTGCAGGCAGGAGCTCATGTGAAAGGGGTGGCTACTTTGCAACGACAGTACACAGACTGTATTTATCTGTGATTTAAAAAAAATGTTACAGAGTCATCCACAGGAACTGTGCAGCCTTGGGGGGGGGGAATGAAGGGGGTGGGTAAGTACCACAGATTTGTTTCCAGGCTCTTATCTGGAATCCTCATCTGGATCTTTGGACTGCTGGACTTTTTTGGACTTTTGGATTGCTGGACTTCTGGATTGTTACGAAATTGATTTTTTAATTGTAAAATGGTATATAATGCTTTGTAGAATTTTTGAAGATTAATTCCTGTGTATTTTGCACATGCTGAAGGTTCTCTAGTTTGATTTTGAATTTGTTCCTATAGAAATTAATAATACACATAAGCTATATCTTGGTAATGCTTTTTTTTAGCATCAGTTCTGTCACAGTTTTTATTTCTTGTTGTGGTATTGTTTTAGACTGCGATCCTTCTTGCATTTATCCCTTACTTTCTGTCACACAATGAAGATCCTTGCACTGTAGTGGAAACTGCTGCCAAAGCAATCTTTTAAAAAATCTGCACAACCAATCAAATCTCCAGTGCCCAATCAGAAGCCTGGCTGGGCAAAAGTCCCACCTGGTCCCACCCACTTTCTAAAAGCACTTGGCAGGCATCAGGAAAGGCGTCGGCAGGCACCAAATGTTGGGTGCCCCTGCTGTAACCATTACACTATGCTGGTCCACTTTCTAAAAGCACTTGGCAGGCATCAGGAAAGGCGTCAGCAGGCACCAAATGTTGGGTGCTTCTGCTGTAACCATTACACTATGCTGGTGCATTGAAAAAGTAGGGGTGGTATTGCCAACTTTTAAGCTGGCCCCTCTTGCTTTGCCTTTAATTACACCTTGAGCTGCAAGCAGGTTATCAGGTGATGTTGTTTAACTTCATGCCATGAAAGGCTTCAATTGCCCATTGCCAGTCATTAAACCTCTATTAAATGACAGTTTCCCCCATCTAGTCGGTGACCTTAAAGGGAAATTCCTTCCTTTCTCAGTCCTCTGTTTGCTCCCCTTTCTTACCAGCTACTGAGGAAGACTCCACAAGGATAGGATGACACTGCCCCAAGCAATCTGTGCACCTTTAAAGTAAAGGAGGATCGACAGTTTGTTTGATACCATGCTGCACTATCATAATCATGTACTGCCTGGATAGCAGTGCAATATCCAAAGATTTCGTGTGTCCCTTAAAATATTTGAGTTCTGGGTTCAGGCTGCTCATGCATCACATACCCTCTTTTTCTACTACATCCAAATAGGTATGAAGAAGTCATCAACCGCCGTGCGGCAGCAGAGAATGACTTTGTTTTGCTTAAGAAGGTGAGACATTCAGATTGCTGAAGGGTGATTTTAGTTGGCATCTCATAAAAGGGAGTCTGTGAGTATATTTAGTATTAAATGAGGATATAGGTAGGATTGTGTCAAAATAAACATTTGCATTCCTTTAGGAGCACAGCATACAACTTCTCTTTTCTGTTCACCTTGTGCAAACACTTGCTTTCTCCTTAACTTAAAAGATTCACCTGCCCTTAGTTGCACAGTCACAAATGAATGAAAACCTCCACTTCTTTCACAATCATGTTTGAAATGGCAAGATGACTAAAGTTTATTTTTAAGTGAGCAGTGACTCACAAAAGCTCATACCCTGCCACAAATTTTGTTAGTCTTTAAGGTGCTACTGGTGCTCTTGCTCTTTACTACTGCTGAAGACAGACAAACACAGCTACCCGTCTTGATCTAATCTTTGTTCAGTAACCTTTATTGTGCACTCTCTCTCTTTTATATTCAAGCACAGGTTCAGGGTTCATTATAGTGATGCAGCTGAATTTGGGAAGTGAGGCATCCAGACTTTTGCACTTCAAAACCTCTGATCTAATTTTGATCCGAGCCCAAACCACACTGACAGTCAGGCTCTGCTTGTAATTAGCTTGGCTCCAGCACCTGCCCCTCCTGCAACTGCAGCTTCTCCCCTCCTCTTCCCACTGAATCTTAACTGGCTCTGGCAGTAGTCATAAAACAGGTTTCTGCTGCTGAAAGCTTGATAGTCTTTAAAGCTTGTGGGCTGCTAGGACTGGGGGATCTTGGTGTACTACAGTTCCCATGGATCCCAGAAGTGAGGTCCCTGGGAATTGTAGTTTCTCACTGCCTCTGAGTCATTTCAGAAGAGAGTGCAGATCAGTTGGTAAAATTCCTTTGTGCATGCATATCTGTTGCCTCCACTGAAAGAAAACGGGTATGCAAGAGCTTCATATGCACAGTGGAGTCTATATGAGGCTCTAGATCAGAATGGGGAGAAAGTTCACGGCAATTATTTACATGAACATTAGATACTCCTTCATGAAGTAGGGATTCATAGTTTTGGATCTAACCAGTTTTTCTACTTGTGAAAAAGGGAGGAAGGCGTCCCCTGGACCACCAGAAAAGGACCCTGGATAGACCAATGCTATATGGAATAGGAGCTGTGATAAGGAGGGGAATTGGCCAAGACTGGGCAAAATAGCTGGGTAGATCTGACCCATATTCTTTTAATCGTAGTCTTGTAAATTAAACAACTCTAAGGAAATTATAGTTATTATCTGATGCATTCAGATTCTGGTTAAAAAGCCATTCTTCCAAAGCCACACTTCACAAAATAGGAGATCAGACCAATGATTATTATAAATGCTTTTTGATTCAGAGTTTGAACAAAAATAATTTGCAATGTCCTATTTTGTTCTTCCAGGATGTAGACTCTTCTTTCATGAATAAGAGGGAGCTGGAGGTCCAGGTGGCAGCACTGAAAATGGAGGTTGAATTCCTGAGGTGTATTTACGATGAGGTAGGGATTTGTCTCATTACTCTCCTAACAAAATCATCCATTACACTATACCTTGAAGGGCTGCACAAAGATCAACTCACAGCCAGATGTCTGTACCCATGTGGGCCATACTTATTTAAACTATCTATATCCTACTTCTCAGTAAAACATTCATGAGGTAGCTTACAAAAAGATGAAACTGCAAAACGTTAATCTGTCAACAAAAAAGCAGCAGCAAAGAAATAATTAAAACAGGAATAAAAACAGCCCATCAACTAATAAATATATAGCACAAACCATAAAATCATAGTACACAAACAGTTAAGAGAGCCAGTTTGGTATAGTGGTTAGGAGCACGGAGAACTGGGCTTGATTCCCCACTTTTCCATATGCAGCTGCTGGTGTGACCTTGGGTCAGTTACAAGTTATTTCAGAGCTGTTCTCTCAAGAGTAGTTCTTGAAAGAGCTCTCTCAGCCCCACCTACCTCACAGGGTGTGTGTTGTGGGGAAGGGAAGGGAAAGGAGATTGTAACATGCTCTGAGACTCCTTCGGGTGGTGAAGGGCAGGGTATAAATCCAATCTCTTCTTCTCTTCTTAATTTCCTCTAATATTAATTTATCTACTACAAGTTTTAATCCCCTTCCTCCGAGAAGCTCAGGGCAACATACATGGCTCTCCCTTTCCCGACTTTACCCTCACAACAACCCTGTGAGGTAGGTTACATCAAAAGACAATAACTGGTTGGATCATTTGGCAAACTTCATGGCAGAGTGGAGATCTGAAGCCCAATTGTCTTCCAGCATTCTAACCACTACACTGCAGTGCCTCTTAACCTATATAACATATAGTCAAACAAATAGCTGAGGTCATGGCCAGGACTGAGTGCAATGAAAGATGACCTATAGATTCCATAGTGTTTTGTGACAAAGGATTATGAAGCTTTGTATAAATCATATTCAACAAAAATGTGCATGGTTTCCCTTCTTTTGCAAAATGTTTTCTGACATATTTATTATTTGGGATCTGTTTGGGGTTTTTTCTCTCTCTTTCTGTGAGTTGTGAGAAGGGGCAAAGGCGCTGATAACAGCATCATTTCTTTAAAAGAGGGATGTGCCTGGGGATCAAAGCCATCTGCAAACACCACTCTCTGGTTTTTCTAGGCACTCCCTGTACTTATTGGTGAAGGAAATGCATTCTGTGCTTGCTCAGGGGCTATTTCATTTCTTTACATTTCTACAGTGGAGCCCAAACATTGAGAAGAGAGGCTGTCACTGAGTCCTGGCACAAGTTAAGCCCTGTTTGTAATTTAGCAACACATCCTTATAAGGAATGTAGGGGATGGGACTTTATAGAGGATCCCTGCTGGCTGGAGGTAGGGTTGCTAGCCATTGGCTGGCAACCAGTGGGAGAGAAAGGGGACAGGGACATGGAATACCCAGAAGTGATGTCACTCTGCTGGCAGGGGACTCTGGAATTCACCCCAAACCCTGGGGTGAAAGCTAGAGCTCTGTGCTGATGCGCTGCTGTCACTGCTGGATATTTGCTGGAGCTGAGATTGTTAGCCAAATTGCCTTATTTTTATTAATAAACTTGGGGAATTATGAATCTTAAATAGCAATAGGCATAAAATATGGGACCATAACCGGTGTTTATGGGAGTCAGAGTTCCCAGGACGCCGGAATAGACGCTGAGGCTAGATTGCTAAAGTAATGATTTCTTTACTCAAGGTTTTTCAAGCATACAAACGAAAATCAATCATTCACACACGCAATACAGGACTAAGAATACAGATTAGAAAGTATGGAGATGGTTGCATGAGCAGGGAATATCATTGGTTGGGTGATACATTACCAGTCCGGCAAGACGTTTGGATCATGCAGTGAAAAATAACACAATAAGGGGAAAGGGATCATGAGTTGACCAGCAACACATGTGGACTGATTCCAAACCGGCTGAGAATGGAACCAACAAGGTAGGGTGGGGTCAGGGGAGGAAGAAGCTAGAAAGCATGCCCAGGGAGGGATCTCCTTAAATACCTAAAAATGTGACCTGAGGCAGAAAGGGTCATATGGTCACCTAATTCCCAGGAAATATTTTTTAAAAAATTCTGAATGAGGCATAAAGGGATTAATGGTTGAGCAATTGTAAACTTAGTGGTCGGGAGGGGATGCCTCTGAGGAAAGGGGGGGGGACAAAGGAGAGAATGAAGAGAACCAATCACGTTGCAGGTCCAGTGCTTTGGCTTAATGACTGGATGCTTGACTGCTGCGCTATCGATAGGTAGCAGGAAGGCTGAATCGCTGCTTATTGTCTTATGCAGAGCACATCCCTTTGTCCTAGGCTGGAGAGGAATGTGTGTTTTTCCAGGTGAAGTTAACACATGAATTGCCTGTGTGATGGAGAGGAGATTCCCTTATGACATCTGCTCAGGAACCTCTGTCTTTTAGCAGAGCATGGCCTGGTCTGCTGCTGCATGCATGCATGGAGGTCAGGGCTGCCGGTCTGCATCCTAGTGCTGGCGTGGTTGCAAACCCGCAAGGGCAGGAGGCTTCTGTAGTCCATGGGTCCACATCTGGCTTGGTATGCTGCTTAGGCACAAGGCTCCCCTTGGCCAAAGTACATTCCATCGTCCAGTACAAGGGCACAGCGCTTGGGCTACAGTTCTGTCCATTGCCCTGACACACTCCTTTCATGGTTCAGCACAGCAGTCATATTTAAGGGTCTTGAATAATGCCATCTGAAGTGGCTGCATGGCAACAGAGATCATGCCAATGATTTATTAGTGATTTTCCTTTCCTCACCCCACCAAGTGGCAGCAGGTGGAGGCCTGGAGGTGCCCCTGGTCTCCCTAGCTGGAAGAGAGGAGTTGCTGCCAATAGGAGCTGCCATTAAGGGATGCTGGGAAAATGTTGTGTTTGTGTGGCAAGAAAACTACTATTTAGTTTTCTTTTGATGTGTCCACCTATGAGTAAATCCTTAATTTATCCCATGAGCTCAAAAGTAGGATGTCAAACAAACATTACAAGCAGGAGTGGGGACAGCTGAATACTGTGGATAACAAGTGTTCACAATTGCCATTGCACACAGATCTCTAGTCTGCAAACCAAACCTAGGGGCTAGAATCTTGCTTTTAGTTTGAACCTTGTCTGAAGGGAACAGAATCCTCGGTCGTGATTGGACATAGTCATAAATTAAAGCACAAACCTTTAATTGTTGAGCCATGTGTTGGAAAGAAGCAGGAGGAAATGAGTGGATTCATACAAGCCAGAGGATCGGCCAGACTTCTTCCTATAATGACAATCCATGTTTATTTTTCACTATGTGTGCGTTGTGCCAGTAAGAAAGAGTCACCTGCTTACTATGATCTCCTTCACATTGTAGGAACTGTCACTGCTCAGTCAGCAGATTCCATGTGAAACATCAGTCATCGTGGAGATGGACAATAACCGAGGCCTAGATATGAACTGTATCCTCCAAAATGTCGACTCCTGGTATCAAAGTATTGTGCAGGGGAGCAAAGAAGAAGTGAATGCTCTATACCGAAGCAGAGTGAGTCATCACACAGACAGATGTTGTGTGTACAGGTGCCTGGAGGGCTCATAGATCTACCAGCATGCCAAGAATGCTTTGTAATTTATTTTGCCCCTCTCTTTTCGAAAAACATTTTAGATAAAACATCTCATCTTTTAGATGAAATATTTAGATTGCCAACCCTGGGTTGGTAAATTCTTGGATATTTGGGGGAGGAGCCTGGAGAGGGTGGGGCTTAGAGGAGGGAGGGACTTTGACAGGGTATAATACCATGGAGACCAGCTTCCAAAGCAGCCATTATATCCAGGGGAACTGATCATTTTCAGCTGGAGAACAGCCGTAATTTCAGGAGATCTCCAGCCACCACCTGGAGGTTGGCAACAATAAGCTTTTTGCCAATCAACCGTTCACTAAGAAATATTGCCAGAATGTCTGAAAGTAAAATGAAATTCAAATAACGGTACAAATATGACAAGAATGAAAGAAAGAATAGTCAAGGATATAAGGAGCTGTCTTATCCTGGGACAAACCATTCAGCCTGCCAGTCTCAAGCAATCTTGCTACCCCTGTTCCTTATATTTATTTATTTCATTAGATTTCTTGACCGCCCTTCCTTGCTTATGTGGGGCTCAGGTTGGTTTACAACAAAATAATTCAATACATCATAAAACCAATTAGAACCGTAAAGTTCAATATTAGAAACGTTCAAACACAAATATTTGAACACATTTTAAGAACAAGTTGGCATATCTAGCATTCAGTTTTGGGGGAGGAGGGTGGAGGGTGCTGGGCAGATGTAAGGAACCGTTGCTGGCCTCAGCCAAAGGCCTGGTGAAACATCTCTGCCTTACATGCCCTGTGAAACTTTAATAGGTCAGGCAGAGCACAGATATTACTTGGCAGAGTTCCACCAGGCTGGAGCCAGGGCTGAGAATGCCCTGGCCCTGGTCGAGGCCAGCCAGATATCTTTGGGTCCAGGAACCACCAGAAGATTCTTATCTGCTGATCCTAATGCCCTTTGGCATTAGAGCAATGCCAAGAATTAAATTTGTAGCTTTATTTACGATG